CCCAACAAACTCCTCTACAGCCCCGCCAAAGAGCTGCGCTCACTCATCAACGCTTGGTGATCCAACTTACAGCTCCCGCAATATGTATCGTACCACTCCCGCAGCGCCTCCTTCTTGCCTTCGTCAATACTCGACGTCAAGACCTTCTGGCCACTGCCACCACCGCCGCGCTTACTCTTAGCAGAACCGCCATCCTCCTCCAAAACAGTCTTGAGCTTCTCGCACCGCATCGTCTCGTCAGAGAGCCAATTCTCCCACTCTGACTGCACCATCTCCCGCTCGATGCTGTTGACGATGCGCATCGCGACGAGGAGATCGTGTCGATACGATCCGAGACGCTGTCGGGTCCGGCGCAGCCGGCGCGCGGTCGCTCGGCTCGTCGCTGATGATAGCGTCGACCCGGCGTCTTCGTAGGGGCTGTCAAGGTCGGTGGCATTGGCAACAAGTTGGAACGTAGTGAAGCTGTGATATCATGTTAGCCATCGTATCTCTGAACCCCAAACTGCCAATCGAGATTTACTTACCAGGCACTATCGGTAGGCCAACTGTTGTTATGGCCAACCGCACCCGTTGCCTCGCCCAGATCCGCCATGTAGATGGCCTTGCTCATCATCACGTTCGGGCCGACACCGAGCCGCGTCATAAACTTGGCTGCTCGCCTCTCCGTCCACCAGGTCGAGCTTTCTTTGGACGTCAAGGCAATGTTCGTGAACGCGCTGACGGCCAGGACAAGAAGGATGAGTCTATGAGCCGTGACCACGCTGAAGAAAGTCTTCACCACGGCGATGGCCCACATGATGAGCGACGTCACCGCACTCTCGCCAAAGGAGCGCAGCGTTTCCAGGAGCATGGCTGTCAGTGTCCGCGGCTTGATGAGCTGCTTCTTTGACGCGGCCGCGTCGGCCGGGGAAAAGACAACGACTTGCGTCTGTTGCCCAATGTTTCCGTACACCTGGATTGCCCTCTTGGTCCGGCTGTGTGGGCCAAGCTTGCGCACCTGGTCCGTCGCGACGTCTGCAAGCTCTTCCGCATCGCCCTCGGCGTCATTTAGGGCCTGACGCTCGACCAAGTTCTTCGAAAACGTGGGTATCTTGGACCATTCCACCTTTGTGTAGATGGCCAACTTACACTTTGACTTGGCCACGTGAGTGATGACAACCTTGGTCACCAATTTGAAGTCTTGAGAATGGGGAAGATGCCATGCCGTCTTGGTGTGTGTCACAACATACGTTACGTGTTCTTGGAAGACATCCATGGTCTGGTAGTCGACAACGTCCACGGTCTTGGGTCGACCGATCATATCCTTGTAGTCGAATTTGAACTGGAACTCTCGCCTCATTCGGCCATGATCTGCGAGCGCCCAGGGCCCTTGGGCGATCTGTTGAGCTCTCCGCTCAAAGTAGAGCTTGGGGAAGACAAAGCTCTTGTCGCCAAAGAGCACATGGAAGCAGGCCTTGGCACTAATCTCAAAGTGCCGCTCTGCAACCATTCTCTGCATGTCTTCGGGTTCGAAAATTACAGGATGAGCGGGTACCTGCACTTTGGGGGTCTGCCTCGAACCAGGCCCTGCTAAGCGGAGTCTTGGTCCAAACTGGCTCTGTCGCTTAGCCGGGCGCCCAGAATGCGTGCCGTCATCGAACGGCGTATTTGACGAGACCTCTTCCCAGCTCTCAATGCTTGGGCTACGTTTGCTGTAGTCCTCGTATTCCAGATTGATCAGTGCCCGAATGAGCTCTGGCAACTCCATTGGCTCCTCAGATTGTAAGTCGTCGATGAGAAGGTTCATTCTCGCATGAAGGAGCTGGAGATTGTCCAGGAAAATCTTGATGGTGATTCTAGTGTAACCCGTCTCATTGCCATCCTCACCGAGGTGAAGGAAAATGAAGTCGCATTCCTTACCGGGCGCAGCTGTGACCTCGGCTATTATGTCGAGACTGATGGCATATGCAACTACAAGGCCCATTTGTTGTCCATAAAAGTACATGTTGTCCGGAGTGATATAGATACGGCCGTTGCCCGCCAGCCCCTGGCCGTGAGAGGGTGAGTCCTTGCCTGTCGAGCTCGACCAGGCGGCACGGAAAACGAGGACAAGCTTCTCGTCCAGAGGAGCATTCGGGAACAGAATCCGGAATTGGAGATGCTGGATTCTTAACTCTGGAGGGTATCCTGGAACAAAGGTCTCCACGGGCTGTCTGAATGGGGTGTGGGCTTGGCTGGGTTTTGCATCGACACTGACAGTCTTCCTGTGGCCAGTGGTAGGGGTTGGAGGCTTCTCTTCACCAGGCTTGCCCACCTCTCGGACTACTATTCCGAATGGATTTTCTTCCAGCAGGCCAGGGGTGCGAGGACGGCCTGGGCCAGACCCGTAGACAGTGCTCCAAGGGCTACTTCCCCAGTAGTTGGCAAGAACCGAAGTAGGCATGTGGCTCGTAGTGTCCGACCCTATACTTCTGTCGACTGAAAGCATCACAGCCGTTCGGCTGAGGTTTGTTGCTGCGGGTGGCCTTGCCAGCGTCAAAGGAGCCAAGGTTCCTTGAACTGGGTCCAGGGCAGGTAATCTTGAAGTGGACGAGTTCTTCGACCCAGCTTGTGGGGGGGAAGGGTATCCGGGAAGATGGCCGTGGCTTGCTATCAAGCCCGCGATGCCGCCAGCGCCGGGCGCACCGCCAGCAGCCCCCGCAGCTTCGGCACCCGCACCAAAGGTCGCTTTTCGGTGAAGATCTAGCTTCTGGATGATCCTCGCTGCATGATCGCGATTGCTTTCTCCCTCCTCACGCACCATCTCTCGGCCTAGATCACGCCCAAGAGCAGTAATGGACCGACGCGGTGCACCAGCGTTTACGTCGAAGCTGGCACGGCCAGCCATGCTGCCGTCCGAACCAGGAACCGGAAGAGTGCCAGCCCGGTCAAAGCTACCGGAAGGCTCCTCGCCAGCCACGATGGCGTCCATGGACCTTGCTGAGAACTCGGGAAGTGGTGGCGGCGTGATGGAGAAAGCGGGATCGGCACCGGCGGGTGAAGAGGCGCTGTCTCTGTCCATGCTGGCCTCGAATGCTCTCTTCTTGGCCACCTCAAAGACCTCCAGCCACTCAGTCAGCTGGTTCTGAGTCTCTGCCTGAAGAACCAAGGTCTGGCTCTTTGTCTTGACTTCGAAGCAGAATCTGCGATCCTCGGCAACGGCAGGTTTGGCATTGCACAAAAGAACACCAATCTCGTCACCTTGCAGAACACCTTGGGGCCCATTGATCAGCCAGCCAAAAATACCTTCTCGGCAATAGTACCAACGACGGACCCAGTTCGACCTGGCTGGCTTGCCGTAAAGGGTCTTGAGGAAGAGCCAACCCTGCTTCTCCGAGACAACGGCGGAACTTTCTTGTGGCTGGACGCTGACCGGACCTCTGGACCCCAGGAACTGAACTGTGGACGCACTGTAATCCTCCAGCTCCCGGGATGGCTTGAATGCTTGCAGTGTGCTTTCGCCGATATCGCGGCGCGCAATTTGTAGTTCTCTCTTGAACACAAACTCTGTGGTTTCCATCTCACGAGACCAGCCACGGATGCGATCCATCTCGGAACCCCACTTTGTCGATACGGCAGCGGCGTCGCGCGACCGCTTCATTTCCTTCCAAAAGTCGGAGCTGACACGTACAAGCAACTTGTCCAGGCTAAAGCGAATCTGAGGCGCAAGCTGGCAGAAGTCCATAGAGACCTTGAGATATGCCTTGCGGGTCTCGTACACCGCGAACGCTTCCTCTCTGATAGCAGACGGCTCCTTTGTCTTTGACTGGCTCATGTACCGAGCCATGGCTTGATCAAAGTTCCTCTGGGTATGGTCCAGAACTCTCCTGACTTCCTTGAAAGAGCGCAGGTCGGCGGCGACGAAGGAGCGGATGGGGTCAACAGATATGGTGTCCATTTTCCGCACTGTTGACATAATCTGAGTCCACCATTCCTTTGAGCCATCGCTTATCCGGCGCAGAGCGAGAAGAGTGTAGTCGTGATCGACGATGGCATCGGCGGTCGCGGCGGGTGGGAAGATCTTGGACAGGTAGGTGTTGACGCTTTCTTCGAGGGCTAGGATGTCACGGGTGACGCGAGACGTAGACCTGACATAGTCGTCAAGCCATTTCTCGACATTGTCGATGTGCTCTCCGAAGTGCTGCGCAGTGGATCGGAAGGTAGGAGAATCGAGGGATGCCTCGTTGAGGCCGACGGGAATCGCAGGACTTGTTTGCTTTTGCGCCGTTGTTGCAGCAGCAGCCAAAGCGACAGACGCCGCGGGCTCAGCCATCGTATGTGCAAGGATCGACGATGGTCGTCGACGTCGTCGGAACGACTTGGGAGTCGTTAGTTCGGTCGGTCGGTCAAAGATATATCATCTGTGTCTATGATGGGCGTTATGCATGCTCTACAGGTCCGGAAGGTAGGATTTCTTGTGTATTGGAGCGGAAGAATGTTGTGTCGCGAGTGGAAGTTGTAATGACGTCGGCGAAAGCCGCATTTGGGGAGTGCCACGGGTACAAGTTTTGGGAGGTGTGCTGTCAAAGTCAAGCCTCACCTCGTCGTCTGGAAAATAGGCTGAGGCCCGGCGGTGGGGGAGCCAATGAAACCACTTTCGCTTCGCGCTTTAGCGTCCGCGTATACTGAGCAGTCCACTGTAGATTCGGCCGAGACCACCCCGCGATTCACTGAGACCAACCGCTAACAAGATTACCTCAGGCGGGGGGGCTCACGGGGCCTTACAAGTTAGGTAATAAGGTAAGGTGCCTACGGATACACTTGGAGCCTTGGAGGAACGGGAAGGCAGTTAAGCTCAGCCCAACTTTCCTTTTACGGAAAAGAAATGGCCCAAGCTCCCCAAGGCGCGGAGTGCGTGCTCCTTCCCTCAATTTTCCATGCCATTGACGGCCACTTCGTTCCTTCTACTGTGTATTCTACGGAGTACTGCGTACCTACCCGTACCTATCCTTCTTCTATGAGGAATTTGGAGACAGCAACTCATGGAACCTTTGGCTTTTCTCCAGGTCTCCGCCACTCTCCTGCAAAGTCTTGTCCATCGTCGTACGAATAAACCAGCTTCAAACATGGTTTGCGCCCTCCAAAGTCTCAATGCGATGCGTCTCGCATTGGCCAAAGAAGAAGAACAGTCTTTGCGGAAGTCGGCATCAGCCATGGCAACATCAAACATCATACCTAACACCCAACGAACTTATAGTTCACTTCATTCCTTACAGGCCACTTGGCATACAGAAGCTGAAGCAGACTTCATACGCCCGTCCGCCTCCATTATAGCCCGACAGACGAACGACTCAGGTCTGGCTTATGCTCGAATCGTCAAGTAGACAAGTTTTCTCTCAACGACAGGCTCATGCTTGGGTAATGTGTCGCCGGTTTCCTGCACCCGCTCGACGTCTGCCGCCCACCACGCTTGCAACCACACCAATCCCCGGATTATCTGCCGCAAGCGAACCTGGGCCATCTGGAGTACAGCTTATCCATTTGCCGTCGAGATCGAGTCATGGACGCAAGGACGCGACATGTCAATAGCTGTCGTCACATATCTGACAAGGAGACAGCTGCCTCGCAAAGCTCAACGAACTTAACCGGACCTCGCCATAGCTTGCCGTGCAGACTGCACACGCATCTGCCCCGTCAAAATTACTCGAGCTTCTCTGTTCGAAACACGGGGCTATCACGACTGGCCGGGACGTCGTCGTTGCTACGACACGCATCCACGACAAGATTACAGTCCCTAGCCTAATCCCTATCCTATCCTATCCTGGCACCCCAGACACTGGTTCGTTTCTGCAACGGGCTCGACTGAGTGGGCTTTGTAGTGAAACAATGTTCCATCATCGGCGGGTGGGAGGAAACAACCATAATGGCATCATGTTGGCCACAAATGGAATGGATTGTCCCGTCGCCTACACTGGCACACTGGTCCCATTCGGAGCCGCGTGGCTGTCGACTCCGGACTGGACTGCTGGTGTCCTGTGCCCTTGTGGAGGTGGAGGGTCAGATCAATGCTAAAATCTCGGTCATGAGCGAGTCAACGTCGCCGTTTTTTTGCTCTCCTGCGGGCAGCACAGCCCCTCAGCCCCTCCCGTGTGGCATTTTCATGCACCACCGACGCTCGCCGCCCACTGACAAGCAATCGGCTTGAAGCGATCAGCGGGTCTTCTGCATTGGTAGCAGCACATTTCAGCTGCTCAAGGGGCGCAACGTACTCGCCCACGGGCCCCCTTTATTCGGTCTCTCGTTCAGATACTGTGTAATAGGACCCCTGAGTTCTGCGTCTAGTATGTACTAACAGACTGCCTTCCAGTAACTCACATGCTCCTTCTGTCGGCTTTGCCGGGGACCTCGCATTCCTCACGTTGCATTGGGTATTTCCAACGCCTTCGTCAACTCAACCTCTCCCTCCTTCACCAGCCTCCCGGTTCCTGCGCCACACGCGGATCTCCCAGGGTGGGGGAGCACTCGCCGCACCGTTTCTCCTCAGACCGGCAGTCCCTGTTCTTTTTTTGGATACACGCACTTTCGGAACCTCGAGATCTGGGGAAATCCCATGGAGGACGATCGTCAATTTTCAGGGTTGCCAAATTTTCACCTCACTCCACGAGACAGCTACGCAATCGAACTGATCTCGCGTTGACGTGTACGAATACGTCTGCATGTCTTGCTCGCCAGTACATCAGCTGGTGATGATACGTGAGCAGAATACGGCAGCTGTCGATACCCATCCTCCACTTAGGCACGGGCACGATAGCTGGTGGCGACTATTGGCACAATCCCCGTTGGCTTCAAGACCAGGCATGCCTTGCGCAGGAAACCTGTCCAAAACGAACCGTCCCGCTCACCTGTGGTATTGAGCTCAAGGCTCAAGCTTGCCATGCTATTTTCGATCCAGCCTGAATCACTAGACAGATCCATGGATGTTTGCAAGATTTTCACTCAAGCGAATGTCGTCCCACTGGCGTCCGACGACAAATGATGCAGTAGGGATTACCCTGAAGAAGGGCAGTTACATGCACAGCAATGTGCAATGGAAACGAATAGCAGACGAAATATGCCTTTCTGCAGGAGGTTGATACCGTCTCTGAACATTCAACTTATTTTCCCGTGCTCCGCCAAAGCCATAGGATCTCCTCCCGCACGACCGTGCGGCAAAGCAAGATTTGCGGGTCGCCGGCCCAGCCACTGGGGTAGGGATCTGCCGTTGAGTGTGGCGACACCAGAAACAACACAGCCTGTGAAGCTTGGCTTGGTGCTACCTTGGATGAAAATTCCGGGTCCGAAACCCCCTTCTCTTGGATGACGGGATACTGAAATGTCCTGTATGGATTGCAATAGCCTTGAAAAAGACAGGTTTTACACTCGCCGGTGGGAAACTCCATGTGACTCAGGTCAAGTGACGACAGTAGCGGTCACGAGCAGCTAACGGGTACTGGCTGGTGTCAAACCAGCCACCCGAGGTGCGGCAAACAACGGCGGAGCCGCCTGCATCGACGACAGGCGAAGGCCGCGGGGGCCAAAAATAGGTAGTCAGCAGACCTATCCGTACCTACAACTTGCCGCGACGGCACAGAAGCCGACTTCTGCCGACTTTGCTGCGAGAGAGAATCCACTGCGTCCGCTTGTTCGACTCCACGATGGCCCGTTCTGTTGCCTTCTGCCGCGTCTATGGCCGGACAGCCGCCGCTCTCACACTGTTCTCAGACTCCCAAGCGAGCATTCACATCCGTCTAGGGTGTCATTGCAAATCCACACTGTCTCTCCCTGCGATGCCGACACCGGGTCGCAGTACAGCCAGCTTCCGCCTGTATGAGAATGTGGAATTTGGCAGGGAACCACGTATTCGGATCTGTTTGCAAACGAATCCATTTTGCCACAATACCAATATGTCATGGTTCAATATTCCGTTCACAACGACATGGTACCCAGGTTCTTTGCTTGCTTTCTGGACATGTCTCTGGGCGATTACCCCCTTGTTTGAGTCAACAGCAACTGGTTAGGCATTTTGGCAACTCGATTGGACGGCAGATTGATTGTGATAGATCTCAATTCGCTTCTGGAGAGGTTCGAGAACGGTTGTTCCTGCAACCGGGCACTCACGAACGGGGCAGGCCATTTCCCAATCTGGTAATCTTGGTATGTAACGTCTCCTGATGACCATGACCTTGCTCATCCGCCTGTCCCCTGAACTGGCGCCAAAGTCGTTGCGCCATTAACGCGGCCATTATTGCTCAGCAAGCTTCCGCTGCGTCCTTCAGGAGTCAAGGGGAAGTTCCTAGGAGCGTTTGGACTCCAACCGTCTCTCCTCATGATGGACCTCTTGGACATTTCGCCCATGATTGGTCTAATATCAAGCCAGAATTTGAGTATTTTTGCCAATCACGATGAAGTCACTCGGCCTTTTCCCGTCCAGGCCCACATAGCCCGAATCTGGCCGTCAGCTCAATAGCCAATGAGGCACCAGAAGCCAGCTTTTTCCCAACCACACCTCAGCTCACCTCGGCCGCTAGCAAGGACTACAACCTTGCAAAAAGCCATCTACAGGCTGTCAATGCTCGACGTTTACACCCTCGAGTCCTCGACCACCCTTTCTATATCTCCACAACGATGTTGGATCCCGTTCCATTAGGACGGACCAACCCCCATCGGCTCGGCGGCGATGCGAAGTTCAGAAGGGAGGAGGGCAATCCCACGCTTCCGGAAACGCTCTATACGCCAGTTCTCAGACGGAATAGCAACGCTGCCATTGCGGTACGCCGCGCCATCTGGTTTGATATCGCTGTCCAAGGCGGAGCCCGGCCGGGACTGTAGGCGGTTCAATTTAGTGTTGTTTCCTCTAGCGGTTCTTCCTTTGGCTTCTTTGGCCGCTCCAATCATGGTCATGCCCTGAGTCTCGTGAAAGTCGAGCCGGCCCAACAACTGCGACCCTATTCTCCAAGGAGGTCTAAGTTGCATATGGAGAAGCCCAGTCGTGGTCACATACAATGCTATGCGGGCTATTGGGTCTACCCGCCGTCGCGGCCGCGCCTGCGTCGTTTCAAAGGCGATCTGCTGCTAGAACCTACATGATGCAGGGCGAGACGCAGAAGTGTCCTCAGGCACATGCAAGTCATAAAGGTACTAATAATTGGTAGAAAGTGAGAAGCAGCGTCTGAACCACACGACTGGCCAAGACAGACAGGCCATTTTATGACGATTATCAGAAGACGCCTCATTCATCTCCGATGAGGTCTCAGCAAGGCCAAAGCAAGATTGACCATCACTAACGACCTCTATCGCCATGGCTGTCTTGGCCATGGCGTTGGCTCTGTGGGCTTGTCGAATGTAGTCATGCCTTATCCCTGGTCTAACTAACAAGATACGAGCCACGGTCTTCGGATCGTCAAAGGTGGACAGATACAGTCAGGTGCATAAGGGCAACCTCCTGACGGAACCTCAGGATAGTTTCCTAGCGTCAGACGAGTCGACATAGGCAGCTCGAATTTCTCACGCCTGCATGATTCAGTACTACCCATCCTAGGTAGCAAAAGGTCTGGACCTGCGCAGGCTGGTGTGCCCTTGAGCATGATATCACAAATGTATTCCAATCACGGCAGCCCTCGCGATGATTGTACGCCGAAGGCTCTACTCAAGCAGATCTGATACCTCGCAAAAAGAGCCAGGTGCATGATCAAGGAACATGCGAGCAGGTGAAAGATCACGATGAGTAACATTTGCAATATGATATATCGAAAATTGCTTATAGTGAGAAGGCCCGGCTCGGATGGTTTGAAATGACCGCGGAAGCGATCTAGACGGCCCCGGTGCAGACCCTGCGAAAGGTTGACCCGATCATGGGCACTTGTCAGACGAAGTGCTACATGGACCGTAGACGTCGAGGCTACGGCTCAGTCATACTGTCGTTCACCCCACTTCACTGAGCATCGGTTTGGAATGAAACTGGCAGCTCTTCAACCAGGACGCACCCTGCATCTCAGCAGCCAGGGGTACGCTTTTCACAAGATACATGTGAAAGGAGGCGCTTGGGGTTGGTGGGTGCCGGCAAGCAAGGGTAGGCATTCTTTGAGACAGAAACATTCCTGACAAGCAGTGACAAGTCCCGATTGTTTCTTTTCTATCAATCGGCTGTCCGGGAACTTAGGCAGTTGGGTTTGCGGCTTGTGCGACGGCAACGACAAGTCGGAGGTGTCTCTCGTCGGGCCTGTCTCTAGCCGGAGAGACACGGATTCAGATTCAAAATTCAGACTTTATGCGGACGAGTTTCTCGTGTGATTTATCAAATCAAGACAATTGGCCGTGGACTTTTGCGAACGCAACGGAGTACAGAGAGGGGGAAAGTACCGACCTGGTGAGAAGATACCAGTGGACCTCCATGGTATCCGTACAGTACTTCAACGACACACTCTTTTCAGTACGAGGGTACTTGGCCCGAGGGTGGCGGCAACCTGCGATTACAGGACTAGAACAACAGGCCCAGGAGCCCGGATTCCCTGTGTGTCCTCGATCGGCAAACAAAGGAATCTCAGGCAATAGATGCACCGCACAACGTATTCGTACGGAACGAGATACACAGGAAGCAAGATGCGGCTACCACGACGACTTACCTGCCTTGTCTGGAATGTGGACGGACGGCGTAGGAGGGTTGGTAACAAGGGTCGAGTTTAGGCTGCTTTTGCTGTCCCATACTTTCTTGTTGTTCGCACAGGCCACGGAGCTCAAGGACTAGGACAGCTTGCCTACTAGTGGGAACGCAACCCATGCGGACAGGTGTTCAAGCAAGAGGTCCGCCTGAAATGCCAGCTCGGGAGGCCACCTCGCGACCACATCACCGTATTTCACTTGGGTATGACGTCCGAGTCTCTTGATTACCTGAGGCACGCGATCTCTCGCCTTCCCTCGCCTTGCGAAAGACCTCTGTGGCGTGTACGAGGACGCGAAGGCTCTGAACGGGCCACGGACGACACCCACAAGTCACAGGTGCCTTATGCAGACCTGTGGAGAGGTACACACGGACACTGGACTGAAAAGAACGGGCCAAGAATTCGGATTGGGATGGCTTCCACAGGTTCTTACAGAAGGCGGAGAGAAGTTGGAAGGGCGGCGATGGCTACAAGTGACCTTAGTCGGGCATGGCAGGGCATGGCATGGCAGCACGGCCAGGCCTACGCTTGCATCTGCACTGACATCGGTCATTCTCAGCTCGCTGCTGGGGATTTTGGGCTCTTTTGCGGGATCCGACGGTTCCCATTCGCCTGACCTCTCGGGTTCTGTCATTGAGCATATGCAGGTCGCAGCACAGCCCTGATCTTGTACGGCGGTCCCTACTATAATTTCTGGGGACCTTTTTTCGCCCTCCGTCAGTCTCTTCGCAAGTTTTTCGCCGCCGCCGCGCCGCCGTCGCTTTCGCTCGCTCGCTTCATGCAGAAGCGCATGCGCTGCGCAGCGCAGCTCGGCACGTAGCTTGTACAGACTACAGAGATCGGATACTCTTCTTTTTTTCCCCCCGTCTCTGAACCTTTTTTTAGAGTCTACATCGGTTTGGATCCAGAAAAAGCGAAAAGATTTACACTTTACTTCGCTGCTCATTGCCGTCAACCGAATCTGCCGCGATTTTTCTGAACCGGGATCGGGGCCGAAGGAGGGTGGACGGCAAATCAGAGGGAGCAACCTATGCCCAATTCTTTTCACTATACTTTGGTTTACGGATATTTTGCCTGGGACATTCTGTATCAGTACGGCTCCGAATCGATGCCGCAGTCTGTTCTGACCCAAAGACAGATCTACCAGAGCGTTTTGCGCCGTCTCCGGTGCCCCGTACCTAAGCCCATAGGAATCGCTCGTTTGCCTGTTTTTCGCCTTACCACGCCCGACCTAAGCAAGCCTTACTGGGGGGTCGAATGGATTGCCGAGCCTGGTTGTTCGGTGCGCTTTGTCACCTCTTCGCATCGTGCTGGCGCAACCTCGAGATTGTTGGAAGGATCTTCAAGACTTATCCCAGACTTTCTCTAGGTCGTCTTTGGAGGTTGTATTCCACAGCGTTGGGCCTATAGCGAAATGTGGCGCAGATGCAAAAGACGACGCACGCCTCAGACAACGCTTTTCAGAAGCCACGCTCTCTGAAGTTTGGAGAGTCTAAACCAAGATGGGAAACATATGTTCGTAAAATCTTGACCCAAGAGGAATAGCGCGAAAAGACAAAAACCACTCGAAGTCATTTTGTCGCTCGTAACGTTCCGACTCAACGGGCAGTCTGCCACCTCGCCTCAGTCAGCGGCACTTCACCACCACCAGCCAACATGACAACGTTTGGTTACATCGCTTTCACAACTCTGACAGAAGGGTGTTGCCAAAGGCGGCAGAGTAAAAACCAAAGACTGAAGGGAGGAGGGGGAAAGGTGCTGGCCCAAGCTTGCGGCGCACGCAGGCGACGGCATCCGAAGCATTCAGGGAATTCCTGGCTTGCCCTAGGCCACCTAGCCTAAGCTTGCCAACCTGCCAAACCTTGCTTCGGCTCACTAAGCTGTGTGGCTGCTTAGTTTATTGTGTACACGGGCACTCTGCAACTTGACATGGCCAGACTCACGACATCCGTGCAAACGCCAAATAGTGGGAGGGAGGTGTGGTGTTTAGCTGCCTCCTTGGCCCATGTACGTTACTTAGGGCCTGTCCGGAGCGGGAGGTACTGGGCCGAGGTGGGCTGGAAACTCACTACTGCGTTGTGAGGCCAAACGAATTTGGTTGAATGTTGGCAAAAGAAGATGAAGAGCGCATGAGTGGAATGGCGATGGCGAACGGACTGAACTCGAGAGGCCAACGACCAGCGCAGGTCCATGTTCGTTGGAGTCCTCCCATCGACCGACTTTGACGTGTCCTACTACTGGATATCGTTACTAGATCCGCCACGGGCTAGGATGCTCTACGAATATGCAGGTTGGCATGAAGAGGACGAGCATCAACGGCCCCAACGCCAACGCCAACCACGAAGCCAGCAAGCCTTGGTCTCCAGCTTCCAGCTTCCCCCGGCCGCCGCCGCCGGCCCCCAGCTCCATAGTATATCCGGTCATGGATGTAACAGGGCCCCGTTGGGAGAGGAGAGAGAGCAAGATGCATGGAGATCCGGGTGAGGCGAGGAGGAGACCTGGAAGCCGGCCCAAGATGCATGCACCGCGCACCGAGGCTACCTTAACCTGAGGCCTACTTGCGTAGCTACCTATATCCGTACAGAGTACCTGATGCCTAGGGCCTGTCCTTGGATCAGACGCAAGTACGGTACTGGTCCATGGCTACCTTATACATGTACCTCTGGGAGGTGCCTACCTACTGTGTATAGCAAGTAGTCCCCGGCGCCATAGGGAGATCCGATGCTACTGCACAGCGCGCTGCGCTGCCCCCGCCGGCGTGCATCATCCAAGGATGATGGATTTTCTGCCTTCCTGTCTCTGCCAGCTAGGTACCAATTGTGGTAGTGTATTTTGAACTCGAAGCTCTAGGTTCTATGTAAGATCCGGAGCCTGAGAGATCTGGGTCTGACTCTCTGGTTCTGGCTCTCTCTTTCTCTCTCCACTTGCTCCTCAACTCGTACGGGGTGCAAAGAGCGAGGAGCAGGGAGTAGCTAGTGACAAGTTCGTAGTGGAGGTAACCTGCCACACCCCTCCACTCCCCCCCCCTCCCTCTCTGCTTGCGCCCTCTTCCCGCCTCCTGGACCATGGACCATGGGGACCGCCTGCCGAAAGCCCACCGGGCTGGTCGAGGCGAATGGGGAAGAGAGGGTACCAGTAGTCACCCAATACCTATTTTTTTTTTTTTTTTTCCTTTGGGGTGGGCGGGAGTGAGGTGCGCAAGGTGCAAAAAGAGAAGCAGTACCAATACTCCGTAGCGGGACAAGGTCTAATGGGGAAAAGACTCACTTTTGTGTACCCTGGTACTTGACCTAACCGCCAGACGCACCCCTGTCCCACGCATAAGTCCAAGTCCTCGGGTACTCGTCACCTCACCGTACCGCAGCCGCAGCAAGCACCACACTGGATGGGAGCGAGTTTACCACCCAACTCGTACCCCCATGACAGGCCTTGACTGCGCTGAACAGCAGTGAACACGACTGGGCAAGGAAGGTTGACTGCAGGCTCTTTCTCCCAGGTCCCGTCTCTCTCTCCAAGCCCCAGCCGGGCCCCAGGGCTGTCTCTTTCTCGGGCGATTATAACACCCCACCACCCTCGCACCACATCCTGTCTCTTCTCACCCTCCCTCTTCCTCTTCACGAGCTCTTCGTCTGCCTTCTTCTTCTTCTTATTCGCGGTAGCAGGCGTGCAAGCCAAATATCCCTTGTTATCCTCCCGGAATCCTTGGGACCGCCCAGCTCCGTCATCACTTGTTTCCTTTATTACTTCATTTTCCCTCCCCCGTCTATCCTCCCCCTCCCCCACCCCGCTGTTCTCGAGGTGTCTATCAAGATTCAAGATCAACAAGAATACCGTCCAAGATATTAAACACCCAAAAGACCCTCCACTATTCGAGACTTATCCTTGACGACCACAACGACGACAACGATAACGACCAAACCGCCTCTTTTTTGTCATATCTCACGCCAACTGATCCTCCCCGTTCCTCCTCCGGTCACAGACTCTCCTCCATCCTCCACTTCAGATATCCCCGCCATCAACATGCCTGTTCAACTGCTACCAGCCTCTGCGGCTGCTTTCGCCCCGAGAGCCTCATCCGTCAACGTCGTGCTGGGATCCAAGGTCGAGCCGTGGTTGACACAGACACTGAAGCGCATCAACCGGATCAAGCGTCCACTCAACAGCGTCCCTCAACATCAAAGATGTCTGACCGAGACACTTTCATCGCCCAACGCCATCTGGACTCTCACTTCCATCATGCTCCCCAAGGCCCCGGAATCCGACTTGCGCCAGGATGAGAACCCTCTCGTCGAGGCCCTGTTCAACTACCAGCTTCTCCACATCGAGGCCTACATTGTCCACGTCGACATGGTCCTGCGCAACGAGGTCGCTTTCAAGCTCACCACCGACTCAATAGACGCCTTGGTCGAGTACCACAAGGAAATTCACTGCGTCGACAGCAAGGCCAACACCTATGACTGGTCTGAGAAGGACCAACAGTGCAAGAAGCTGCATGAGGATTTCGTCCAAGCCATCAACAAGTTTGTCTACCGCACACATGTCACTGCCTTGGAAGGGCTCGAGGAAGAAGGCGCTGGTGAGCTGCTCTCTGGTAAGAGCGAGGAGGTCAAGAACAACATCATGGGCCTCATGAAGCCCTTGCTGCCTCCTCCTCCCCGTGTTGTCGATGTCATCAGACAACCACCTCTGCTCCCCAGCTCACCCGCCAACGCCAGCATCTGGTCGCAACCCCCTACGCCGGCCAGCCTAGTCGCCGTCGATGCGTGGAGAGTCCTGCCATCAAGTCCGAGCATTGCTTCCACATCTCAGGAGTCAACGCCAATCTGGGCCAACATTGGCATGAGCGAGGTTCAGATCCCCTCCCCTACGCCTGCATACAGCCAACCTTTCTCTACAGCCGGGTTCTACTACAGTGCACCAGCAATCACGGCGCCCATCCCAGCGTTGCCTCTCCCCAGCATGTTCACGCCTCAATGTGGTGTGAGCGTCGGCTACGGTGGCTTCGGCTGGGATCGCTACCAGGAGTACACGACGACGATGTGACAACCAGAATCCGTTGCATCTGAGACTTACCCTGTCGTGACGACCTCATAAGCATTGCCAGGCACGATGGTCCCATGTTTCCCGGAGAAAAGTTAAATTCTTCTCGGTCTGCTCGGCATAGAATCATCCACAGGCATATCGGCGTTTTGCATCAGCAGGGGAGCGAACGGTGTTACGGGACTCGCGAGACAACCAAACAAAAAAGATATAATTGGGGGTTTTTCTTTTGTCGGCAGCAAGCGAGCGTATGATTTTTTCACAGTCTTTTCGATATCCGGGGAACAACAACCACCACCACTCACTCTGCCGCAAGCTCGGTCACCTTTCATTCGAATCATCTCATCATGGCTGGGTCCGGGGCGGGCATTTGAGTGCATTTACATTTGGGTTGGGGGGTTTTTCGAACATATAGGCGGCCTGTTCTCTTTTCCCCTTTCTCTACTATTTCCTTTGGGTCTTCTCTCATCTACACAAGAGGAACACGCAGCAATGCAAAACCCCCCCCGCTCGGCTCCAGGCCTGGAGCCCGAGACAGAAGAAACCGACATCCTTTCATTCTCGATTCCCCCGTTTTGGATTTCTATTTTTTCTGGTCCTATTTTCTTGCTTGATTTAAGAGGCTTTCTTAGAGATACCCCCATCGGCATTACACTGGATCGGAAGATACCAACAGCTGCGCATTTTGCTTTCTTTTCCTTTCCTTGGGCTTGGGTTCTTGTCTTACGGATGATTCATGACAACCATTTCACGACCAATGACGAATATTCACGACTGCGC